TCGCCATCCCCGCCGTCTCCGTTAGGCCGTACCCGTGGCTGACGGCGAAGCCGAGCGCCTCCGTGCGGTGGAGCACCGCGGCGGGGGCGGCGCCCCGGCGGTGAGGACCTGGACCGGGCCGTGGAGCGGGCGACGGGCGGAGTCCGGGGCGTTGGCGAGCATGTTGAGGACCACGGGGGCGCCGCACATGTGGGTCACCCGGTGGGTCTCGATTGCGGCGTAGATGGCGGCGGCGTCGAAGCGGCGGAGGCAGACGTTGACGCCGCCGACGGCGGCGATGCCCCAGGGGTAGCTCCACCCGTTGGCGTGGAACATGGGGAGCGTCCAAAGGTAGGTGGGCCGCCTCGGCACGGACCAGTCGATGAGGGAGTCGATGGTGATGAAGAAGAGGCCGCGGTGGCAGTGAACCACCCCCTTGGGGGCGGAGGTGGTTCCGGACGTGTAGTTAAGGACCATAGGGTCCCACTCGCTGCGGGGACGGACCCACCGGAACTCCGGGTCCCCCGTCTCGAGAAGCTTCTCGTAGGTGAGGGCGGAGCTCTGTGGCGACGGCGCGTCCTCGTAGGGATCCTCGATGGTGACTACCCGAGGGCGCTCGGCGGAGGCGGGGAAGAGTCGGAGGACGTCGTCGAGGAGGGGGCAGGAGAGGACGTCGACGAAGACGAGCTTGGAGGCGCTGTGGCGGAGGAGGATGGAGATGGTGCGGGCGTCGAGGCGAAGGTTTACGGTGTTGAGGACGGCGCCGCTCATCGGCACGCCGAAGTGCATCTCGTACATGGCCGGAACGTTGGGTGCGAGCACCGATACCTAAACCAAGATCCAACGATAGCGCCACAGGATCGAACAAGATCGAATCTCGAAGCAAAGAGAGACAACAAAAAAGATGGGATTTCAATGACACGGATCCTAATATGGAAACAGGAGGAGGAGGTTGCAGCGGTACCACATCGCCGGGGGAGATGCCGAGGGAGGAGAGGGCGGAGGCGAGGCGGAGGCAGCGGCGGAGGGTCTGCGACCAGGTGAAGGCGGTGCGGTTGTAGACGAGGGAGGGGCAGTCGCCGTAGACGGTGGCGGTGCGTTCGAGGAACTCGAGCGGCGTGACGGGGCAGCTGTTGGCAGCGTTGGGTCCCAAACCATCCATGGCGTTCCGCTGCTCTTTTTTGGTGGAAGGGGGCGATCTCCTCCGGGTTGGGATTTATAGGAGAGCAGACTGGGATGGTTACCGTTGGCGGGAATGCGTCTAAGTCCATCCATCTTCTTCTAGTAGTCGATCTTCGGGGATAGCTTGTCATAATTTTCCATTATTAGTGGAAAGATTTGGAAAACACGGCAGAAGCATGATGAGAAAACCAGCTCTGTCGTTATCATCTTCTTTCACGCTGATGGGGACAGCTCAGACCTTGAGATCGGAGCAAATGGGCCTCCGTCGCAATAATTATCCAAGCCAGCCTGTCGCGGTGCCCTCCGCTCCGCGTTAAGATTCCTACGGCGGCATGGGCCGGACTTACGGTCCAACCCACCGAGGGCCCAAACACCACCACCATACTAACCACCTCGGTGCCTCCGATCGGGTCACAAACCAACGCTAATGAGCTCAGCGAAACGGTCCGAGTCCCGAGGCTTATTGTGTAACCCGAATCTATCGATGTGCGACTAAAAGGCTCACCCGAGTCCATTTAAGTTGTGCTACCGAATCGACTTGGATGGTGATGACAATGATTGCGTTGCAACATCATCATGTGACCTCCTCTAATAGCGATGTCAATTGCATGCACTACTGAACATGGCGTCCATTGCCCCCTCTCTGTCACTCTTTTTCTTTTTACCCAAACCATATGAAAGAAAGCGAGAAGAAGAAGAAGAAGAAGATGCATTGCAGGGATCCATCTGCCAAACATATCCCACAGTTCAGAATTTGAGGGCTCCACGGATCAGAGCCAATTCTTTTGATCACAGGAGCTCCAATCATTGTGTGAACGTTTTGGTAGATAGATAGGCCTCACATGCATGTCATCCTCTTTTCACTCTCTCTTCTTCTTCTTCATGTTTTGGTAGGTTGATAGATAGGTCTCACATGCATGTTGATGAATTGACGTCTCATGGTTGGTGAGTCAGCACGGCCTGATCCACGTATAATCACATCAAATATTTAAGTTAGGAATTAAATTTTCTTTTCTTACTTGTCATTGTAATTTAAGGAATTCTTAATCTATTTCTTTGTTTGTTTATAAGAATTAAGGAAATAACTATTAAGCATTTCAAATAGAATGATATCATATTTGTTAGTATATTAAATAAAAAAAATTATATTAAATAAATACGAAAATAAAAATATATTCCCTTTAATGGAGGCTCACCTCCTATTTAAGGGGAGGGATTTCTCTCCTTCGTTCCTCATCTATTCGAGCTTAGCAGCGGGAGGAACGAGGAGTTACACCTTGTTGACGAGAGGTAGCCTTTCTTGAATATAAAAGTTTTAGTTTTTATTTTGATTATTTAAATATTGAAAGTTTTATAATTTAAAAAATATTTATCAATCCTTTAAATGTCAAAATTTTTATTATTACAGTAAAGTAATCAGTTAAAGTTTTTATAATGCTTTTCAACCTATAATTAAGATTTTTATTATAGATTTAAATATGTTAAAAATTTATATATTATATATGATATTTACTGCATTACAGTTTATCTTTAATCTTATCTGGATTAAAATCTTGTTAGATAAAATATGTTATCAAAATTTTTTTTTTAATATTCTTTGATCTGAAATTTAAAATATGTTATTCTGAATGATTTAAAATTTGACTAGAATATGTTGAAATTTTATATGTGTTGAAAGCATAATTTATATTTGAATTTAGAAGGTTATTTCCTTGTATTAAAACTTATCTCCCAATCTATCTTTTAATGTGTTATGATTTCTATTTAAATTTAAAATGTTATTTCCTTGTATTAAAGTCTTTCTCCTTATCTATCTTTTAATGCATTATTATGTTTTTATTTATATTGTTAATGGGTATATGCTGTGATATGAAATTGGATAGTAATTGGAATGAAATTGCTCACAGGCCAGGCCCAACCCACGGGACAGGCCTTGGCCGTAGGCTAACCCAGCCCAACCATCATGGGCGATCACATGCGATGCACATGACCAGCCCATGGGCCACGGTTGGGCTAACTTTGTGTGATGCATGTTCAATCATGTATAATGCACATGACCAATAGATGCGATAGCTCAATCTAGCCAAATATTATTATTGGATTTGAGCCCAAATATTGATTGAACTAAACTAGACTTAATTAGTCTAGATCAATTTAGGGTGATTCCAAATTGATTGACTTATTCAAATTATTTTAACCTAAATTGAACTTAATCTAATCCAAATTATACTAGTCCAGGGTGGTTCCAGACCAGTTAAATAAGGATTAGAGATTGGTTCAATTAGGTTGTAGTAAATTGAGTTTAATTGAATCGATTGAACTAGAGTTCAAGCTAATTGACGACTAATTTGTATTATTTGATATTGATGATATTTGAAAGAGATATTTTAAATATGTTATTTCATCCCGAAATGGACATGACTAGTGTGAGATTATATTATTTTCCTACCGAGAGCAGGTAGGGCGATTCCCTTCGGGGATTAGCGGGTCATCAGACGTGGCAGTTGGATGATTCCTTCATACACTATTGGGAGGAACGTGTCCCCACTTTGGCGGGTGTGGGACACCACTCCATCCGCTGTTGGGAGTACGATATGAGTTTGCCTCCATCCATTGTTGGGAGAACATAAACTCATCCCGTAGGATAAAGCCTCTCCATCTGCTATTGGGGGAGTACTCATTCAGGTATTTGATATACGCTAATGGGATGATTGATTGAATTTTAATCATGTATTCATTTTGATTTAACTTTTGGGGTTCCTACTCGGCGTTACGAAATTTTCTTTGTTTTTGATTTTCAGAGAAGCCTTCCTCTAGTACTAAGTCAGATTCCAATGGAGAGAGGACCTTCCTCTACCGCTAGGTAGAGCTACTTGGATGATTCTTGAAGTTAACATCACTATGTTTACTTTTCTATTTGTAATTTGATGAATAAAATAATTATAATAAATGGTTATAAATGATGAATAAAGTGATGTTTATCTATTTAGCTTGAGTGTGTAGAAAGATACGAAAAAAAAAAAAATCTAGGATTTGACATCTTTTATGGTATCAGAGCATAGTCTAGGGCCTGTAGGTGTATTAGGTCTCTTGATTGACTCTAACCAATGATTATCTTTAACTTATTATAGGAGTAATGGAGTCAATTCTAGATATTAGTGGTCCTGTCACTCGGGGTGCTCATGGTTGCAATGCTACTGGTGTACGCACTCGGAGAGGTGTTCAAACAAATAATAACTTGGAAGCTCCATGCATCGTAGAGCAAACCCAATCCTTACGTACACCTATCACCGATTATGTGCCAACTTCTCTGACTTTGTAGAATGCCCCTCATGCCCCAACACCCGTCAATACTCAAGATGACGTACACGGAGTCCTCAATGCTATTATAGGATACTTTGAGTGTCAAGAGGAACGAGATGAAACACCATGGGGTAGGAATAATACCTTAGATCACTTTAAGATATTGGGACCACCAGTTTTTTAGGACAAGCCAGATCCAATCTTTGCTGAACATTGGATTCGTCAAGTGGAAAAGATATTAAAAGCTATCGAATGTAGAGAAAATCAGAAAGTGCCTTTTGCTTCTTTCATTTTGGAAGGAAAGGCAGACACTTGGTGGACCTCAAAAAGGAGGATGTTAGAGGCTGGAGGTTCCTACTCAGCGTTGATGAATTTTTTTTGTTTTTGATTTTCAGAGCAGCCTCCCTCTAGTACTAAGTCGGATTCCAGTGGATAGCGAACCTTCCTCTACCGCTAGGTAGAGCTACTTGGATGATTCTTGAAGTTAACATCACTATGTTTACTTTTCTATTTGTAATTTGATGAATAAACTAATTGTAATAAATGGTTATAAATGATGAATAAAGTGATGTTTATCTATTTAGCTTGAGTATGTGGAAAGATACAAAAAAAAAAATTCAGGATGTGACACCACGGGTCGATGTCGGGAGTCAAAGATCGGCTTGACGGGTCACCGAAATTGATCGACCGCAGGTCGTGGTGGTGATCGACTCTTAGTTGGGATGGTAGTGGCTCGGGATGTTTGATCTCCCGATCGAAAATCCTTGGTTGCCGGTTGGGTTGTCGGTGCCGCTTGGGGAAGACGCTACTCGATCAAGATAATCGCGTCTCGGAGTGGCCTCTCTCCTGCACACAAGGCCCTCGTCGGGTGGTTCCCGACTTTGGCTCCTCAACGAGTAAGTTAGTGTTCAGTTCTCTGTTTTTTGCCTCTACTTGGCCAGATGCCAGCCAGGGATTTTTATACCACCGCATGAGGGTAGGTCGTACGCGGATTTGACATAGCGATCGATCCTCGAGGGGCGAGATGGTACTTTTATGCGATTGTCGTCCTGGGATGCACGGAGCAACACTAGTCGACATTGTCTTGGGGTGCATGGAATGGCGTCAGTCGACGTCGTCTTGAGATGCACAGAACGGCGCCAGTCGGCGCCGTCCCATGCTTTTCGGGACATACTGAGAAACAACGCGGATCCTAGCTTGGTGCGTGGGAGTGCTCCTCTTGCTGACCTAGTGATGGAGTTGACTGTGACATGGCCGGAGTCTAAAATATACCTTTTCACTTCTCCCCCCCCCCCCCACTGAGGCGTGCCATGGGACCCTTGCGAGAGAGCGAGGGGCACGCTTAGGTCGGCGTGCTGAGGGTGAATTGGTTGCTCGTGAGGGGAAGTTGGGCTTGGCGGGCGACACCCTATGCATTGGGAAGGGTTGAAACTATTGGCCGGGCGGTTGGGCCTAGGTAGGATGATACTAGCGAGTCGTTGGTCAGGAGGCTGAGTTGTGCGACTCAAGTACATATTGGACCTGTTGGCCGAGTGACTGGTCTCGGGCACAGGTTGAACTGGCAAGTCACAAGTCGAGGGAGCCAACCTGCACGACTAGAACAAAGACTAGACCTGTTGCCGAGTGACTGGTCTTGGGCACAAGTTGAGGATTGACGAGTCGCAAGTTGGGGAGCCAAACTGTGCGACTAGAGCAAAGACTGGATATGTTGGCCGAGTGACAGATCTCAGGCTCAGATTTAACTGGTGCGCCGCAAGTCGGGGAGTCGAACTGCGCGACTAGAGCAAAGACTGGACCTGTTGGTCAAGTGACTGGTCTTGGGCACAGGTTGAATTGGCGAGTCACAAGTCGAGGGATCGAGCTACGTGACTCAAGCAAAGATTGGACCCGTTAGCCAAGTGACTGGTCTCGGGCACAAGTTGAACTAGCGAGTCGCAAGTCGGGGAATCAAACTACGCAACTAGAGTAAAGATGACCTGTTGGCCGAGTGACTAATATCGGGTTCAGGTTTAACTGGCGAGTCGCAAGTTAGGGAGTAGAACTGTGCAACTTGAGCAAAGACTAGACCTGTTGGCCGAGTGACTGATCTCGAGCTCAGGTTGAGGACTAGCGAGTCACAAGTCGGGGAGTCGAACTGTGCGACTAGAGTAAAGACTATACCTATTGGTCAAGTGACTGATCTCGAGCTTAGGTTTAACTGGCGAGTCACAAGTTGGGAAGCCGAACTGCGCGACTAGAGCAAAGACTGTACCTGTTGGCTGAGTGACTGGTCTCGGGCACAGGTTTAACTGGCGAGTCGCAAGTCAGGGAGCCAAACTGCACAACTAGAGCAAAGACTAGACCTATTGGCCGAGTGACTGGTCTCGGGCTCAGGTTTAAGACTAGCGAGTCGCAAGTCGGGGAGCTAAACTGCGCGACTAAAGCAAAGACTGGACCTATTAGCTGAGTGACTAGTTTCGGGCACAGGTTGAACTAGCGAGTCGTAAGTCCCGAGCTGTGTGACTCGAGCAAAGATTGGACCTGTTGGCCGAGTGACTAGTCTCGAGCACAGGTTGAATTGGCGAGTCGCAAGTCGAGGGAGCCGAACTGCATGACTAGAGCAAAGACTAGACCTGTTGGCCGAGTAACTGGTCTCGGGCACAGGATGAATTGGCGAGTCGTAAGTCGA